GCACCCACTGCCCTGCATGATTTTCATCCGCGGCTCCCGAGACCTGGCCTGCGGGGATGCACACCGAGCAAGCCTGCCCGTCTCCTACGAAGGGAGACGGCACGAGAACAGGAGAGGAAAGAGTGAGAAAGTTGGCCAACACACAAGAGGAGAGAGAGAGAGAAAAATGGGAGGACAGCAAGCAACTGACCACCTGGAGTCATCCTCCTGAATCCAACCTTCCGCTGCGGAGGAGACACCGTTCCTGACCAGAGAAATGAGCAACCTCTGAAAATAGGGACCTTTTCCCTCTCGTAATGACAGCTAGTCAGGAACCTTTTCATACAAACCCAGCCCTAACTTAGTGGGCTTCCCAACCTGGACTCAGGTTGGGCGTGAGCAGAGCCCTCACCAAACCAGACACTTATCTCACTGACAGCGGCGTCTCCTCGGCTCCCAGATGGACGTCTTTTGCGTGGCATCAACAATGCTCAGAGTCTCGACGCTCTGGCTCGCTTTCCATCGCATGAGGACAATAGACTGACGTGTGACTTCGTTTTCCTTGGTACTAAACCTAACAGAGGGGGTGGGGAAAACCAAAAAAATTAGCATCGCCGTCTGCAATGTTGCGTAGTCTCTTCATTTCACATCTCCCATATGCCACGGCTCCACCTCAACCCATCTCCCCTTACTACGTTACAACTGCAACTAGAAGGCACCCATTGTAACGGCACCCAAAATACTCACTTTCCTCAGGAGACTCTTGTCCCTTGCCCAGCCTTAATCCCAGAGCCTCGTACCCAACGAGGAAGCACACGGCCTGTGAAGAAAGCTACAGCGAGTACAGATGAGAAATTCGAAGCACTGACCTCTTACTCACAGCCAGCGATGCAGAAGGCAGAAACAGGAGGACTATTCATGTCTCGTTAGAAGGATGTCCAGGCAGCTCAGGTCCACTTCCGCCATATTCTCGTCCAGCTAGGGCTCCTGGATGATTCCTCTGCAAACTAATAATGTCAAGCAAGAACTATCACTATTGGTGCGTCTTCTTTTCCCTCAGTCCTAAACCCAGCACAAGGCGAAAAAACAAATCCGTTACCATCTCAGTCAACAACATCTAGTAGGCACTTCCTTTCGCCTCTTCCTCACGGCGGGGCTCCTCCCTCAAACATCTTCCCATTACACCTTTATCATTACAACCAAAAAGCACCCCTTGCAACGGCACCCAATATAGTCACTCTGCACAGCAGACTCTGGCCCCTCTCCAGCTGTAATCTCACAGAGCCCCGTACGGAATGAGAAAGCACACGGCCTGTGAAGAATACTACAGCGAGCACAGATGAGCAATTCAAAGCACTGACCGCTTACTCACAGCCAGTTATGCGGGAGTCAGAAAGCTGAAAACTGTTCATATCTGCTGACAAGGATGTCCAGTCTGCTCATGTCCACTTCTGCCACTTTCTCCTCGGGCTAGGGCTCTTGGAAAATTCCTCTGGAAGCGAAGCTGCAAAAGCCAAGCATGAGCCATCACTACTTAAAGCTCTATTTGTTGTTTCAAATCTTGCCCTCCCTCTCCAATCCCATCTACATCAGCCCCACTCGATGAACAGAGACCGAGTTAACACCAGCAGTCACCGCTCCACTCTCGCACCCACTGCCCTGCATGATTTTCGTCCCCTCCTACTTCTCCATGGCTCCCGAGAGAAAGCCTGTGGGGATGCACACGTAGCACGCCTGCCCATGTCTTACGAAGGGAGACAACACGAGGAAAGGCAAGGACAGACAGAGGGAGCTAGAGGGTGCGTGTTGGCCAATGTACTAGAGAAGAGAGAGAGAGAGAAAGGAAAACATTGGAGGAAAGCAAGCACTCACCACCTGGAATCATCCTCCTGGATGCAACCTTGTGCTGCGGAGGAGACACCGTTCCTGACCAGAGAAGTGAGCAACCTCTCAAAATAGAGACTTTTTGTCCCTCGTAACCACAGCTAGTCAGGAACCTTTTCATAAAAGCCCAGCCCTACCGTACTGGCCTTTCCTACCTGGACTCAGGTTGGGCGTGAGCAGAGCCCTCATGAAACAAGACACTTATCTCACTGACAGCGGAGTCTCCTCAGCTCCCAGATGGATGGCTTTTGCGTGACATCAACAATGCTCAGAGTCTCGATGCTCTCGCTCTCTTTCCAACCCATGAGGACAGTAGACTGACGCATGACTTTGTTTTCTTTGGTACTAAATCCAGCGGGGGAGAGGGGAATTAGCATCTCCGTCTGCAATGTCACATAGGCTCTTCATTTCACATCTCACATATCCCACAGCTCCACCCTCAAGCCCTCTCCCATTACTACGTTACAACTGCAACTAGAAGGCACCCATTGTAAAGGCACCAAAAAAAACTCACTTTCCTCAGCAGACTCTTGTCCCTTGCCCAGCCTTAATCCCAGAGCCTCATACCCAACGAGGAAGCACACTGCCTGTGAAGAAAACTACAGCGACTACAGATGAGGAATTCAAAGCACTGACCTCCTACTCACAGCCAGCGATGCAGAAGGCAGATATATGAGGAGTATTCATGTCTCCTTAGAAGGATGTCCAGGCCGCTCAGGTCGACTTCCGCCATATTCTTGTCCGGCTAGGGCTCCTGGATCATTTCTCTGCAAACTAATAAAGCCAAGCAAGAACTATCACTACAGAGAGCTCTATTGGTGCGACGAATCTTGCCCTCATCACTGCCTCTCTCTCCAGTCCCATCTACATCAGCCCCACTCGATTAACAGAGATCGAGTAAACACAGCTCCACTTTGGCGCCCACTGCCCCACACGGTATTCATCCGCTCCTACTTCTCCATGGCTCCCAAGACCTGGCCTGTGGGGATGCACACCTCGCATGCCTGACCGTCTCCTAAGGAGGGTTCGTGTTGGGGAGGAAGAAGAGAGAAGGGCTGAGGGGCCCCATGGGTGGAGGTTGAGATTGGGATGCAGGGTAGGGATGGGGATGCAGGTTGGAGAATGTTGGAGAAAGGGTAGTGGGGGGCCCACAGATCTAGGGACAGAGTGGGGTGCAGGTTGCGTTGGGCTGGGGGTGTTGGGAGGGAGAAGAAAAGGGGGCTGAGGGGCCCAACAGATGGGGGGATGAACTGGGGGGGCCGTTGGGGGGAAGGGGGCTGCGTAGTCCCTACGGGTGGAAGCATGGATGGAGACGCAGGTTGTTGTGAACTGGGAGGATGTTGGAGAGAGATGAGGGCTGAGGAGTCCCATGAGTGGAAGAATGAACTGAGGGATCCATGCATGTGGGTTGGGGAAGGTTGTTGCAGGCTGGGGGGTGTTGGGGAGGGAAGGGCTGAGGACACTATGGGAGTAGGTATGGATGGGGGAAAGGTAGGGATGGGGTGCAGTTTGGGGTGGCCTAGGAGGTGTTGGAGGAAGAAGAAAGGAGGACTGAGGGGCCCAACGGATGGGGGGATAGATAGGAGCGGGTTGGTTTGGGCTGGGCTGGAGGAACGGGGGTGCAGGTTGGAGAAAGTTGCAGGCACGGGGAGGGGGGGCGCACGGGTGGGTTGGGGCCCAGGTTGGGGCGGGCTG